GCATCGCAAACGAAATGTTATTATATACGTCGGTGGATGAAGGTAATATGTTCCCAACATCATCTATCGTTCTGTATTCGACGCGAGTCAATAATTCGGCCAATAGCTTCTTGTCGTACATTTTGCAGAATAACTTTACAAAATAACGCACGAGATATGTATAGCTGAAGACACTGACGATTACTGAGCGCGACGTCCACCTACAACACATGAAAAAAAGACAGTTGATGAAATCGATTATCTTTTCTCGATCTCGTCAAATGTTTTTTTTTTCCATGTGATGTGTAGGTGGACGTCGCGCTCAGTAATCGTCAGTGTCTTCAGCTATACGTATCTCGTGCGTTATTTTGTAAAGTTATTCTGCAAAATGTACGATAAGAAGCTATTGGCCGAATTATTGACTCGCGTCAAATACAGAACGATAGATGATGTTGGGAACATATTATACCTCCATCCACCGACGTATATAATAACATTTTGTTTGCGATGCAACAAGGTGGTTCCTCAATGAACGCAAATCTTAGACGAAACAGACTCACATTGCGATTCTTGGAATGAAACTGAAAACTGGAGAGGTCTAAATAATATTAAAAATACAAACAAAAAAAAATACTTGTAATAACCATCCCAAGAAACCGGAGTTGGGTAAGTTAATAATATTTTTTAACTAAGTTACGTTAAAGTCAACAGTCTTAAAAATTTAACTTAGTAAAGATATTAGTCCATAAAATTAATTGAATTAAAAGTTAAGTTAATAAAAAAAAGTAAAAAGTTAAAGATAAATTTTTTTTATTAAAAAATTTTAGGGTTTCTAAATAAAGTATATATCTGTTATACTTATTTCTGTCGAACCGCGGAAAGAGGACCGATTTCGAAGGACTTCTTCCAACATAATTTAATGTATAGAAGGTCCGCGAACAGGGATTCCTACCCGCGGCCAGACTATATATTTATTAGATTATAACAATTGCCTTGATGTGTGTTCTCAAATTTGAATTTAAAAGCACCAACGTAGACATCTATTTTATTTTGGATTTATAAGAGGCACTAAAAATGTAACTTCAAGAAAGTTAGAAGTTAA